AGGCCTTGCCTGGGCGCCCTGTGACTTGTCCTCTCCCCAAGTCCCTGCCTGCCGAGGTCCCTTTGCTTCAGCTTCGGTTTGCAGATCTGTTTCAGGAACTGTTAAAGTGTGTTAGAGGAAACTGCACCTACTCAGAGATGACGGGGGCCAAGTGGCCAGGAGTGGGGGTGCAGTGAGGCCCATCTAGAGGGGCCTGTGATGGTCACCCCCCCCCCCCGCCCCGGGGCTTTCCTTCTGTTGTGGCGGCCGCCAACTGTTCATGCCCCATGCCGAGAGGCCTTGTACTTGGCCTTGAGAAGCAGCTCAGGGTCTCCCCAGTGGCTCTCCTCTAGCCTGGGGAGAAGGGACAGCCTCTGGTGGGTCCCCTCTGGATCTCCGGCCACCCTGTCCCCACTGCTGCTGGGCTTCTCCCAGCTCCACTCCCGTGGCTTCTGCAGCCTCCTCCCCCGTGGCCCCCAGACTGAGAGCCTCCGAAGCGGGGCTGGGCCTGATAGAGATCCACACTCCTAGGCCCAGCCTGCGGACGCGTGCACCTCACAGGGGCAGAGTGAGCCTGCCAGATGACTGCTTCGAGGGGCAGGACTCACACTCTGGCCTCCAACTCCTCACCTAGCTCTCAATGAAGGAAGGCTTCCTGGAGGAGAGGGAGGTGCTGTGTGAGCTCAGACTGAAACACATTTTTCACAGGCCAAGGAAGAGACCGGGGAGGGCGTTTTGCGCAACAGGGGAAGAGTGACAAGAAAGGTATGCGGGAGGCAGGGACTGCGGCCTGGTCTGCCTGAGAGCATCCTGGGACTCCTGATGGCTTCTCTCCTGGCCCAAACCCTGGGCTGATCCTGCTGAGCTGTGAATGGCTGATAATGGCAGAAAGGAGGAGCTGCAAACGGGGAGGCAATTCCGTCACTGGCCTGTCTCATCTGCAGCGCTGCCTCCTGGCCCGTGGGGAGGGGGTGAGGCTGAGCGCAGACCCTGAGAGTCGCAGTCCTGCGCCCAGGCTGAGCTCCCCCAGGAGAAAGCCGGGTAGACTGTGCCGCAGGTGTCCCACACCTCCTCCGGGGCTGGTCCGCCTCACCCCTGCCAGCCTCCCTCTCTCCTCCTCGTCCTCAGCCGCCCCCCACAAGGACAGAAAAATCAACCTGGAAGAACACTGAGGTCATGTCCTTTGTCGTGTATAATTATTTTCCTCTTGTTTTCGGTTCTAGCAAAGAGCTGTGGGCCCCCGGAGTGTGTGTGTGAGTGTGTATGTGTGAGTGGCTTGTGTGTATATGTGTGTGTGAGTGGCCTCTGTGTGTGTGAGCGTGTGTGACTGGCCTCTGTGTGTATGTGTGAGTGTGGTGTGAGTGGCATGTGTGAGTGGCCTCTGTGTATGGTGTGTGTCTGAGTGGTCTGTGTGTGTGTGTGTGTGTGGTGTCTGAGAGGCCTGTGTGTGTGAGTGGTGTCTGTGTGAGTGGCCTCTGTGTATGTGTAAGTGGCCTGTGTGTGTGGCCTCTGCGTGTGTAGTGTATGTGTGTAAGTGGCCTGTGTAGTGTGTCTGAGTGGCCTCTGTGTGTGTGTATGGTGTGTGAGTGGCCTGTGTGTGTGTGTGTGGCCTCTGTGTGTGTGCTGTGTCTGTGTGAGTGGCCTGTGTGTGTGTATGGTGTGTGTCTGAGTGGCCTATGTGTGTGGTGTGTCTGTGTGTGAGTGGCCTCTGTGTGTGTGTGGTGTGTCTGTGTGAGTGGCCTCTGTGTGTGTGTGGTGTGTGTTGAGTGGCCTTTGTGTGTGTGTGGTATACGTGTGAGTGGCCTCTGTGTGTGAGCTGCCTGTGTGTATGTATTGTGGTGTGTGTCTGTGTGGAGTGGCCTCTCTGTGTGCGTGTGATGTGTATGTGTGTATGCTGTGTGTGAGTGGCCTGTGTGTGTATGGTATGTGTCTGTGAGTGGCCTCTGTGTGTGTGAATGTGGTGTGTGTCTGTGTGAGTGGCTCTGTGTGTGTGTGATGTGTGTGTGAGTGGCCTCTGTGTGTGTGTGATGTGTGTGTGTATGGTGTGTGTCTGTGTGTGAGTGGCCTGTGTGTATGGTGTGTGTCTGTGTGTGAGTGGTCTGTGTGTGTGTGTGAGAGTATGGTGTGTGTCTGTGTCTGTGTGTGAGTGGCCTGTGTCTGTGTGATGCATCTGTGTGTATGGTGTGTGTGTGCATGAGTGGCACGCGTGTGTGTTGTGTTTGTGTCTGTGTCTGTGTGTGTGTGATGTGTCTGTGTGTGTGAGTGGCCTGTGTGTGTGCAGTGTGTCTGTGTGTGTGGCCTGTGTGTGTCTGTGTGTGTGAGTGTGGTGTGTGAATGGCTTCTATGTGTGTGTGTTTGTGTCTGTGTGTGAGTGACCTCTGTGTGTGTGCAGTGTGTCCGCGTGAGTGGCCTCTGTGTGTGTGTGGTGTGTGTGAATGACTTCTGTGTGTGTGTGATGTGTCTGTGTGTGAGTATAGTGTGTCTGTGTGAGTGGCCTGTGGGTGTGTGATGTGTCTATATTTGTGTGTATGGTATGTGTGTGTGTGAGTGGCGTGTGTGTGTGTGTGTGTGTGTGTGTCTTTGGCCTCTGTGTGTGTGTGAGTGGCCTGTGTGTGTGGTGTGCATCTGTATGACTGGCCTGTTTGTGTGTGAGCGTGTGTGTGTGAGTGGCCTGTGTGTGTGTGGTGTGTCTGCGTGTGTGTCCTGTGTGTGTGTGTGTGTGGGGTATGTGTGTGTAGTGTTTGTGTGTGTCTGTGTGATGTGTCTGTGTGTGAGGTGTGTGTGTGCGTATGTGTGCTGGCTGCCCCTCCTCCCCCACTCCCGGGTGCTGGGGGTCCCCAGCACCATCACTCAGGTGCACCCAGGGAAGCTCCACCACCTCCCACACGTGCTCACTGGCCTGAGCGCCTGCTGGAGGTGCCGATTGGGCATGGTGTGGTTGTCTGCCTGCCTGTCCTGGACTCCCAGGTCACTCTGGGCCAGCACTCAGCTGCTCTGCACTGAAGGGAGGAATGCCCCTGCCCACCTCACCAGGGCACAGCCATCTCGAGAGCCGCCAGCCTTCCGGCCAGCGCGCAGCCCCAGGCCATTTGCGGGATAAATTATGAATTTTAATTGTCGCAGCATCTTAGTGTTTAACGGCTTCTATATATAGACTCTGCCCTCCAGGAGTGGCGGCCTTGGTGGAGAGGAGTGGGAGTCGGGCAGGGCCCACAGGAGCCCATTCTGGGTGAGCAAAAGGCTGAGGCCTGGGCTCCAGCCAGTGCACCCTGCCCTGCTGTGTGACCTCAGGGGAGTCCTGGACCACTCTGTGCCCTTCCTGCCCCAGCACAGGTTGCCCATGCTGGGACCCTCTAAGCGGACAGTACCCCCACTTGGATGGGAGCTGTCCCAGAGCTGAGGTGAGGCAGGCAGTGCTTATTCATGGTGACCTGAGGGGGCCCAAGGACAACCCAGTCCTATACCCCATATCCCCCTTTGCATGTCTTGAGATGCCAGCCCAGGCTCTTGGGGACAGGAAGGTGACCCTCATGGCCCCAGCGCCATCCCCTGCCAGGCCAGTGGCCCATTGGAACACGCTTGCCTCATCCCCAGTTGTCCTCTCACACTTTCCTGGGGTTCCCGGGGGACCCCTCTCTGCAGCCCCAGCCCTCAGGGCCTCTCTACTTGGTAACGGCTCAGGCCTGGACACCAGCCAGCCCTCACCTGGGAGAGCCAGAGGCCTTGTGCTTGGGGTGGGGGTGTCACAGCCTCACAGACCGCAGGCTGGCAGTGAGAGGCTGAGACGTGTGGCGGGGCTAGCATGGGATTTGGCGTTAGCCAGAGAGTTAGAATAGTGATGAGAATGATGATTGGTAAACCCATCAGAGTGGCCTTTGGAGTACCAGGCACGATTTCAGGCACTTCACATATAAAACTCACTGAATCCCGCACCGACCCATTGAGGTAAGTGCTGCATGGTCCCAGTTTTGCAGATGGAAAGCACAGAAGCATAGCGGTGCTCTACAGCGTGCTCAGGTCAGCATTCACGGGGTGAGCCCCAGCGCGTTGGCTCGGACCCCATGCTCTTCATCACTCCCCTATGGTGCCTTTTTTAAAAAAAGCGAACACTAACATAGCACTGGCTATGGACCAGGCATGAAGCTGTTTGAGCTCCATAACCACCCTAAGAGGCTGGTATGATCCCCATTTCACGGATTAGAGAACTGAGGCGACGAGAGGTGACCCACCTCACCCGAAGTCCCACAGTGATGAGTGGCAGAGCTGGGCCTGGGCCTGAGGCAGGCAGACCCCGGGCGGTCCCGCCCACTCCTCTACTGCCTCCTCTGACTCAGGTGCAAGGGCCTGCTGAGCTGTGTGATCTTGGGCAAGTGATTTTACCTCTGGGAACCACAAATTCCTCACTGGGAAGCGGGACGGCAGACTTCACACTGCCCTCACTGCTGGGGCGGAAAGTGCAGGGAGAGGGAAGGGAAGGGAAGAGACATTTATAGCAGCACGCATACTAAGTGCTTTGCTGAATGACCCCACCAACCATCACCTTGGTACATACCCGCTTCACTGCTCTGAGCCGTTGGTTCACCTGCCCGAAGTCCTGTGCTTGTCTGGCTCCAAAGGCGTAACACCCTTGGAGACCCTCATACAGATGAAGAAACTGAGGCCCAGGAGCATCAGGGACTTGCGCAAGGCCCCACAGCATCTCCAGGCTAGGACCTAGGAAGGACTCCAGCCTCCCAGCCACCGCCACCTTCTCTCCTCCACACCATGCAAGGGTCATATGGCCACCCCGTGGCAGGGCCGAGTCAGGGACAGGTGAGAGTTTGGGTGATTCTGCCTCAAAAGGGGAAAAGATTGAAAAATAACCCTCTAAAACATCACAAACCCAGGTCCAGTCAGTTCTATGTAACACGGACAGGCAGATTGCAAAAAAACACTTGCCCCCCTCCCAGCGCTGGCGGTTCAAAGCCCTCTCTGCTCAAATGAATCCTGGCCACGCCATTGCCAGAGTCCATTTTACCAACCTGGTAAACTGAGCCTAGTACCCAGGAAGTGATGGAGCCTCCAGCCAGGCACATACAGGAGGTGTGTCCTGTTCAGGCACAACGATGCCACCACCCAGCTGTCCGTTCATAAGAAGCCCAGACTTGGGGGAGAACAGGCACCTCTGCAGATCTCTAAGGGGCATATCAAGGCAGAAGCTGCAAAGGTCCACTGCAGGCCTGGAGAGCGGAGCCAATACCCATGGTGAGCTCCCAGGGGAGGCCGTTCAGCCCATGTGGGGAACCTGATGGGACATTAGAGGGACATTGGATTAGATGGCTCAGGACAGAAGAACTGCCTCAGGAGTAAGTGAGCAGCCCGTCATGGGAGGCATGCAAGCTGAGGCCATGGATCAAGGCGACTGCAGAAGGCCTCCTCTGCTGGGAGCTACACCTCAGTAGCCCCTCTCAGCTCCGAGATGCCCCCATGTTGCACCCAAGTAAAGGGACTAGAGATGGCCAGCTCCCCCCTCCACTGCCTGCATCTGCAGCCCTACACTGGGCCAGGCAGAAGAAGAAGGCTGGCCAGCCCCCTCCCCGCCCCCCGCAACCCCCAGAGCCGACAGCAGGTTCTCCGCAGGAAGCAGAGGAGGTGGCAGAGAGAGATTAATTCCCCGAAACGGGAAAAAATAGGAAAACACACACACCACACACCCTAATAACATGTAATAAGAGGTTGGAGACGAGGAACAATGCCCTGGTAATGTCACCCTGGCGGCAATCAATTTGGGTGTCACATGAAATAGGCATAATTATTCCGCCAGCCCCGGTGCTTGTCTTTAACCAGCTCTGGGGGCCCAGGCCCAGGCGGAAAAGGCAGCGTGGAATCAATCGGTGGTGCACCAGGCTGGCAGAGGGAGCTGCTCCAAATTAGCCTGCCAGTATGAGGCTTCTCAGCCCCTCTGGGCCAGCAGGGGTCTGGAGGGCCTCGCGGGTAGGGGCCCTGAAAGGCCCCGGAGTCACCTTGCTCAGCCACCCCTCATTCGATCCATGAGCAAGAGCCGTCAGGGAGGACTCCCCATGGAATTGAGAACGGAGGAGGAGCAAGCACACATTTTCCCCATCCAGGGCTGTGCAGGAGTTGGGGTATGCTAAAATAACGAAACACAGGATCCCTCCACCTCCTAAGCTAGGACCACGCATTCCCATCCTGGGGTGAACACAAAGCCTCTGGGGTTCCTGGAATTTTCTGTTGTTTGTTTGCACTAAACATGCAGGGACTTAAGCCCTTCTTGCTCCTCCTTCATCCCACTTGCTTATGGAGTCCTCCCTGATTGCTCGTATCCATCCCGGACTTCAAGGATGGTAGGGCAGTATCCCCACAACTGGGGGAACAGGTGCTGATGGGGTGATGGCTTAGTGAGTACCCAGTCCACACTGGCTGCTGCCCATCTTAACCCCCATTTCATACACCAGAAACCCCAAATTCCAGAAATGCAAATCAAGACCACCATGAAATATCATCTTACATTCATTCAATCAGTAAAAGTCAAGGCCCCTGACAACACCGAGTGTTGATCAGGATGGGTGCAATGAGAACACTCGTCTCCTGCTGGGGGGACGACCAACTGGTCTAACCAATTTGGAAAACACTTTGGCAAATATCCTAGTAAGGCCGAATGCAAACATGCCCTACCGGCCAGCAATTCCACTCCTAGCTGTGTGCGCCAGAGACACTGCACGTTGTCTCAGAGATGGGATGAGAAGGTTCTTGGAAGCATTGTTTGTAAGAGCAAAACATGGAAATGACCTAAATGTCCATTGGTAGGAGAATGTGAAATAACATTTTTATGATCACATGGCAGAACACTATACATCAGTGTAAATGAGCTACATCTACTATTATTTGCAACAACATAGATGAAGCTTAAATGTGACAAAGAAAAAGGCAAATTCCAGAGGACTGCATGTGGTTTGTGCTTTTTATAAAGTTCAAAAATAACGAAAACTGAACTACTTATATATATATTTAAATTGTATAATTTTCAAGAGGCAAGGGATTGTTAAATACATAATTTAGGGTAGTCACTGAAAAAGAGGTGAAGGGAAGGGGTCTAGCACATGGGAAGATGTACATCATGACTGAGTGCCTGTGTTTGAGCGGAGTAGGACCACAGTGTTCGTTATAGTATTATCACTACTACTATGATTACTAATACTAAATGTCTCGATGAATTAACAGGCTAGGCCTGGGTAGTGAGTAAAAGCCCCAGGCCAGAGGCCAGGAAGAAGGCATTCTAGACTGAACCCCAGACTTGCAAGCTGGGGATTTAGAGCAAGTCACTCCACCTCGCTGGCTCTGTTTTCCCAGGTATAAAATCAAATCTCTGCACCTACCACCTACAAGGATAAGATCATGATAAACTATGAGTAGCTAGCATTTAGTAAGGGTACCTGGCACTTCCTAACATTACCAGGCACTGTTCTAAATGTTTTGCTTATGTTAGCACACCTAATTGTCACGTCTTCCCTTGAGGTGGGTGCTATTGTTACCCTCACTTTATGGATAAGAGACAGACCTAGAAAGATTAAGTAACTTGCCCAAAGTCACAGAGCCGGGCAGTGGTGGAGCTGAGAATTGAGCCCAGGGTCTACAGTGGCTCCAGGGTTTACACTCTTAACAACTTCACTATGAAACAACATTGAGGAAACAGAACACACACAGGTTGACTGTTGTCAGCACAGCTCTACTGAGCCCACCGTACCCAGGGATATTCATTCGTTCATTCGTTCGCTCATTCATTCATTCATTCATTCCACAACTAAACAAAGAGCAGCATCAAGAATGCCTCACATGTATTGCGAAATGAACCTGCCTTCTCACACTCTTTCTACAAAGAAACTTCCCCGATTCTGGTGTCCCCTGCTTTCTGTGTCTCTGCAAAGTCTGCTACTTCCCTAGGACTCAATAAGTCTCCCCCTCTTCCTAAAGCATCTCTGACAACCTCGACCTCCAGGGAGAAATCCACCCTTCTCTGAGTGTCCATGTGGGCTACTGAGTACCCGTTAGTCTCTTTCCAACTGCTGCCTGAAGCACCTTTGACATCACCTAGCTCTGTGCATTCATGCACAGGTAGTCCTTGCGGCTAGCCAAGAGTTACTCCCTGGTACCTCCACGGGTCTGTTCCATGCCAGGGGCCACGGATGAGGGCCAAAGGAAGGGTACTAGGATTGCCCAGGGTGTTCAAGGCAGACCACGCTTAGCCAGAGCCAAGCAGGCAGCTTGGCTAGGATGTGCAGAACAAATGCATGTGTGAATGGGCTGCTACGGTATTCAGTGCAAACAAGAGTGGCTCTATGCTGCGAGTGCCTAGAGAAGCGCGGGCTGAGTGACTTGAAGCAGTCACAGAGGCTTCTTGGAGGAGGGGGTCAGGACAAGGAGAGGAGAGGGCCTGTTGTGAGGGGATGCAGGGCTAAGCCAGGTGAGGATGGGGGGACACGTGGAGGAATTGGAGGAAACAGAACAGAAAGCTGTCAGAGGCTAACCATGGGGGCTGGGAGGCCACTTCCACAGAGTGCCACACGAAGGACCGCGAGCCCAAGACACTCCAGTCAGCAAACTAAGGCCCTGACTCTGAGACCACCATGCCTTCTGCCTCCTCTCCCTGGCCCTTCTCCGGCTCCACTTCCTCCACCCTCCACCCTCCACCCTCCACCCGGCTTCAGGCTTCTGTGGGACCCTGCATGAATGCCTGCACTGCCTCACCCCCCAAAAGAAACACACCCAATCCCAACTGTGCTCCCCCAGATACCTGCTTCCGCAGGCGCCTGAAGAGCAGCAGCACACAGGAGCCATCACTGGCACCAGGGACCCTGAAGTGCTCCATGCAGAGCCCCCACCCACCTCCACAAGAGGTTGCTTTTTGTGCGGTGGGGTGGGGGAGGTATCCCTCTGGGAGTCTGGGTTTTAGAAAGCAATACCCAGTATAGGAAAAATGGATGGTCAGAGGGCGGAGGATGAAGATAAACCCAGACAAAAGAGGACTGGGGTAGAGTAAGTACTCTCTCCACCTCCCTCCCAGTCACACAGGGCCCCTCAGCCCGCAGGCCTTGGGAACTTGGCTTTGAGCACATGCCCATCCCCCTAAAAGCTGGTTCCCACTCTAACTCCAGACCCTGGGGAAGACTGCAGCTTTAACCAAGCCCTCCCCAGGGGCTCACACTTAAATTGGCAGAGGGTGGGGAGGTGGGCAGGGGCCTGTCCCCGCCTTCACTAAGCCCCCTCCAGGAGGGGCAGCTGGGTGCTGCTGGGAGTCCGGATCTGAGTCTGTGTCCTCTTTCAGCATGGTTCCAAGGAGTTCTTGGTCTCTCTCCGTGTCACCCTGTACCCGCCCTCCCACCTCAGGCCATGGGTGGAAAGCAGGAAGGACAGGCATGCTGTCCCAGCAGACCTGCTGCTAGCACCTTCTCCCGCCTGCTAGCTCAGAGGCGTGAGGATTTCAAGCTCCTTCCTGGCTTACACAAGGACAAAGGGTCTGGGAGCAGCTGGCCCTCTTCTCCTCACTGACACTCTGTGCTGGATCTGGGGAAGCCCCAGGCTCTCTGCTGCCTAGGTGCCCCGGCTCATTGCTCCCTGGGAATTGGAGGCACTGGTGCTGAAGTCGCTGGCATAATGGCCAGCAGAGTTGAGCCCAGAGCCACTGGCCAGGCTGGGCTATGTGCCCCCTGGCTGCCCAAGCCAAGCAGAGGACTGAGGGAGGGCTGGGTGAGCAGGAAGGGGCTGTCCAGATGCCACAGTTCCCACTGGCTCAGGGCCTCCTGCACTCCCACCCCCCCACCCTTGGGACAGAGCTGTTCCCATCCTCCTAGGTGCCCCTTCTCTCCCACCCCAACCCGAAGGCCTTTGAGAACAAAGAGGAGGTGCCCGCACAGCTGGGCTGGACCAGGCTGGGCTGCGACCCTAGCAGGAACCGGGAGGGGGCTGCCCACTGGCCTGGCCCCACCCCTCCTCCTCAAAGTGGGATCCGCCCGGAGGGACACATCTCCTGGCATGCCTTGAGAGTAGAGAGCCCATAGCCCACCCCGAAAAGGGCGTGAGGGGGAGCAGGAGGCTCCCTCCTCACCTCCCTCTTCTCAGCTGGTTCCCACCTCCCACCCGTTCTGCCTTAGAATGAAAAGTGGGGCAGGAGGAGGTGAGAGCCCGCGCTGAAGGCAGACAAAGGGGAGGCCCCTAAAGGGTTCCTGGGTTCTCCTGGTCCCCAACTTCCTCTCCTCCATTCTTCCTACTCCCCATCTCCTTTTCACA